CATTGTCTATTGTAAACTGACGGAAAGATTTACATTTACAGGATACACAGATATACAGTCGTCCACACTTAACTAACTCATCACCTGTCTGGCATAAAATAATTAAATGCAGACGACAAACTTTGTTTCGTTTTGGTGCTACTACTAAAACAGAACACAAAGATAGCTGTTTGAGAACATTTCTTTCGTCATAAAGAAAGACCTTTAATGACAAGGAATATGTGTATGTCCTATCTTATGAGTTCTTCACTTTGTCTTTACTTGTTCGAATGAAACTGCAAATCCTTTTTGTCTACGAATACTCCACGCATGGCCCACGACTTTACAGGCACCCTTGCAGTTGCTACATGGAAGCACCGACCCTTTCTCTCATAAGGCCGGCCCTTTGTCTCATTGGGCCGTATATCAATTGCTTCCTCTTAAATTTCCATATATGGTCAGCATGTCTCTTGCCGTCCGTATCCTGGGCGGACCCGTGGGCCACGGGACATGGATATCAGCCTACTCTTGGTGGGGCTAAAATTCTCTCTTTTTATCTGGCCATAGGTAATTAAAATGTCATTCAAGGTTCCGTGTTCAAGGTAACAGTAGCGCAACAGGCGGTGTCAGGTGTCGTTGCAGTTGATATACTTCTCGCGTGATTGACAATTACGCTGTATGAAGCAATAACCATGCAGTAAGTACAGCAGTCACGAGAGACGACTACCAGAGGTCCCGTACCGGGAAAAGAAAATTAATTTCGCATCTCCCTCGTGGAGCAGTATCTCTCAGTATACAGCTAAGTACTGTGGCTGATCCTTTTTCACGGCGCAATAAGAAAGTACACTGATGTAATAGCAAAAAAAATCTGCCTCGTAAAAATAGGTTACCAGTTAAGATGTCACATGTTCTATATTATTTTGACTGATTTTTCGATATAGTTTTTCATTGCAATAATGCACTGCCAAGCTACTTGGTAAGTCCATGAAATTGGGCTCAGGCTCTTGTTTTATGCACGCATCGAGCTATCTTGAGTGGAGTCCGTTTGAACACGTACCTATGGCAAACCGCAAACGTATAGACTTATAATATCTTAGGGCTTTTCCCCATATTCTCCAGGGGATGAGTGTGTGGGAGGCCATGACAAAAATCGTCCCGTAACAAGGAAGGTATCCGGGGCAGTCAAAAATAGAGAGCATTCTGTTCTGGATCACGGCTCTGCGTGGAAGCCTAGAATGAAGAGGGTCTCTGTGAAACTGTTTTCATGGAAAAGGATTCTGGGCCTACTAAAAATGGAAAACAGATTTCCGTGGATTTTTTTCCGTGAGAGACATCGGCCTTTGACTAGCCCAGGCCTTGGGGATATTTGGATTGGCATAAGCGTGGCATGTACATGTACATGCAGATGCTAATGGATTTGTACAATGTGAGGTCGTTGAGGTGAGTGGGTATATTGGGGTCATTACGAACTATGACCCGGTGACCCTTCCCTCTCTCGGCATGTGACCCAATCATTGCAAAGATGACCGTGCTTGTTGGCAGTAAAGCATTTGCAACGAAAACTTTCCCGTCCATTTGGCAACTTCATTACGATGGGGGATTTGTTATAGGTCTGAGAATACTTTACACTGGAGAAGTAGGCCTAGACGTCTGTACTACAGGCACGAATCCAGTAGATTTTTTAAAAATTATTTTGATGTGAATATGAAACAACCATATGACTACAGATGAAGCATAAGCAGTTTACACACTAGCATGAAGTTAATTCGCCATACAGGTTCCTCAAGAACAGATGTTAATTCAAATTTAAATTGTTGCACCATGGAGGAAGGAACACATGGTTGCACGAACCTGCCCCAGACGTTCAGGGCAACTTAGGTGCGTTTATAGAAGATACATGCATTTTCCACCGTAAAGTCCATGGTTGTGACCGGTAAAATCATCAGTGCTAAGCATTCGAGGGCTTAACCGTGGAGCTATTAAAAAGGAACAGACACCGCACTATTGAAAGCAGACCTGTTTTCACATAGTACGACAACCGAAACTGAACAGGCCTTGTGTATATCGGATGCAGTCATGACCGCAACAAGTGACCGTGCACGAGCTCTTTTTCCTAGACCTAGAACAAACCTTCCAACGACTTCCGTCCTCAGACGTTTACACCAGGTTTTATTATCTTTGTTGGTTCGATCATGGTTTGATACTATTTTGCTTTTGACTTAATGTGAAAGTTACTGGTATTCCCGGTTACGTTTGTCTCAAACTTCTATTCGAACAGCAACAAGAGTGCATTGACACCAAACTAAAACACAAACACCGACAAAAGCATAAATTCCACCTCACAACCGCCCCACCTGAACGCGCTCCTCAATCATTAATTTGTTCACCCAATAATGAAACTGAACTCCATTATGCATGTTGATATAGGCCTACAGCCAACTCGATCCCGAAACTCAGTGTCGATGAAATCATATACCAGTTAATTTTTAGACTGACATGGCTCGATATAACCTAATGAAACGAAACTTAATACATGTCATGTACACAAAAATACTGCTAAATAATCAACCGTTGTCGGTGAATGTCTACTTCACACAATCAAAATCAAATCCCTAAATCTGTTTCAGTAATATCTTTATCAAAGCATTTCTGTGACTAAAGGTTTTCACCGCTTAATATTTTCGAGTATTTTTCCTAAGAATTGCATGAGTAAAAACAAAAACAACGTTCTTACCTGTCGGATTTTCAAAATGCACCTCTGCAACGGAAGAAAAACCATCTTGATGTTTTCTTTAAAAAGTTCCAGATGAGTTGAAAAATATCTGCAAAATATGTTAACTTCAGTTGGTTTCTCAGGGAAGTAGGCCCTTCTAAAGTTTGGCCAGAAAAGATCCTCGTAAAATTCAGCAGTGAACTTGCAGCTTGAAGTTCAGCTCTACTAGACTGTGCTGCTTTCAATCGTCAATACTTCTGGTGAAGACAAGGCGACACACACTGTGATTAGGTTCTGCCCACTGGGTCAGTAACATCTCAGTGCAGACGACATTTCATTCTACTGAAAAGTAGCAGCCGTGGCTTCCGAATGTGGCATTTCTGGCGACAGAAACTGGGCAGAAAGCACCGACTGGACAAAAGTATTTTGAATGCAGGGACTCCAAACAACCAGAGAGTTCCTTTTGTGCAAGAAACTGAGTGCAGACTTGGAATCGTCTGCTCTGTTCGCGTGCACTCGTCCACCACGTGCTTCTGTTTATACTACGAGCGCCACTGCAAGATGCGTGCAATTTTACTCTTCCCAACTTGCCGCGGCCGAACAAAGGCAATGCAGTTCTCTCTCGCGTGGCGCGCTATAAATAGCCGCTTACCCACTGCTTTAAAGGAGCAGCATCGCATGGAAAAATCTTTGCGGTTACATGAAGAGTGTTGTGAATGAATTACAGGAAAAGTACGTATTGAAATTACATTGCATGTTGTAATGTTTAATTTACATGTTATTCATTCTTCATGAAAGTGCTCACCGAAAAGAAATTCAGTTGAGATTGAGAAAAAGGAGAAAACTTGAATGGGAAACAGTTTAAATTATGATATGAAAAATAATGTTTTTGTTTATTGTGGTTTTTTTTTGCTTAATGGGTTATCGTATTTGAAATAGTCGCAAAAAATGCACTGAACATTTTCTTTTCCGAGTAAACCAAATTTTCAGAGGATACAGTGTGCTGCATTAAGCTAAATTTGCATTTTAGCATTATGGCTATTTCGATGTAGTCAAAGCATTCTACTTGGCCATGATCTCTCTGTTAGTTACTGTTGAATTTTGTAAAGACTTTTTGGTGTTGCCCCTTTAAACCCAAGATTCCTCTACGGTAATATTTATGCTAATGAGCTGTAATCACAAAGCGCACTTACCATCGCAAAATCGACACAGATTGGTGAAGAGATAATAGTGCAATCAGTTTCCGCCATCAGCATGAGTCCACGGCACCAGCTGTGCGGAGAACAATGAACAATACCCCCCAAATCTGGAAACATAACTATATCCTCATCAATAAACCGAGCCCTGGCCCGAACTATGCCATTTCATAGTGCCTTTGCGCAACCATGTGACACAGCATATATTTCCAGCATTTCCTGAACATAAGTTGAGTCCACAGATGAATTAGTTGCATGTCATGATTACTAAATCATTCGGTCATTCCAGACCAACAAAGGTGAGATTTCACTTCCTCGAATAATTCCGTGAAATAGAGTGCACCACCTGAACACTGCACTTCCTAACTCAAGTTTCGCTGACTCAAATCGTGCATTGCATGACTTTTTTGTATTTATTTTCCAGAGCGGAAAAAATAGGTGTAAATTCTCATGACAATCGCTCATGACACGAAGTTTCCCCTGGAATTTCTGCCCGTTGGAGACAAAATGTCCATTTCCCAAGCAATGAAATATTCAATATGATATTAGAGTGTGATATTGAACGGCTGCTTTGTCTTCAGCAAAATCTGCGTTCAAAATCTTGGCTGCGCTTTTTAAAAGTAAAGACGGGCAGTCACAGTGAGTTTGGAAACAAAATACCAGGCTGACACAAGTTGACAACTTGGCATTGCAGAAATTATTTAGGTGGGACAAAAAGGGTCTACTTCAAGACCATGGTCCTCGATATGTCTTTTTATTTCGAAAATCTCTCGTTCCACCACAATTCTTCAACAGGAAATAATAATTTTCCCGCCGGACCTTATCTTTCTACAATTTGATTTCCTGCCCCTGCTTTAAATTAAAGCAGTAACAAACCACAGCGCCCTCTTGCGGTTACAAACCAGAATTACGGCGGTTCAACTAATCACACGACAGCGTACTGAACAGTACTGTACATGTACAATGACTATAACTTACTATAGTCGCGAGTAACCTTGAATTGTACCTGCACTTTTGAAGAGTACCGCTGCCATCATATGCCAGGAAAATGTTTTCAATCCACAGCACGATATCCGCATGACACACAATAGCATCGATTAGTTCAGACAGCATTTTCTTCGAATAATTTTATTCACTAATGCCATTATGGTGTCCACGGAAAACACATCCTACAACTGAATATTCTCGTCCATGATACAAAATTACACAACGGTGGATTATCGTACAAATTGACATGGCATTTTGTACAACATGGTTACAAATAATAAAAGTAATAGTAACCAAGGCGAGATAGCATAATTTATATTGAAACAATACGCATTAGGCGAAGATCAGATGGCAAGAAAAATATCTCGGGTAAAAAGTGACTTGGTTGGTTGAATTTTGTGACATACCAAAACTTAAAAACTTTTTTTACGTCAAAACTGGCATTTTTAACTTTGTCAATTCATTCCAGAGGCAACATCTCATCTGGAGTGCGGATTCAAATGGATATCCAATCAAATTACGACTTGTCCGACATTTTAACCTGAGGGACAAAATGGAAGTGTTTCCAACAATATCAACGAGCGAAGTCTGCAACTAGGACACAAGCTTATTGCTCTCGGCGGACATGAATGCGAATCCTTTCAAAATATTCATAACCCAGTTAGAGGAATTAAACAATGGGTACTGAAATTGAATTAAAAAAATTGAAATTACAAAATGTCACTGCGAGAAGGTTTGTAAGTTTTGATTTCTTTTTAAACATTATACTGCTGTATAAGCGGTAACTTCCAACCAATTACTCCTCATATCATCAATATTTAACCTGTTCAGACACTTGCAGTGACTCTAAATTGTTTCAGTCGGGAGAATCATTGTAGCGATTGGACTGCTCGTTGAGTCAATTTGATAATAAAACAATTTCCCAAATTTAATAACTAGATTGTGCTTCTGCAAGTCTAAATTCAAAGCAGAAAAAACACTGGTAATGTAGCACATTCATTTGATTAGCATGATTCCATTTATAATGCAAAATACACACTGTGTATTTAACACGGATTTATGATTCAGCGTTCTGTGTACTTATGTTTCAAATGAACCTCTTTGGGATGTGACTACGAAAAGCAATGAGAACATGTGACTTAGTCTTACATAACCAAATAATATGGACAATCTTTTATGAATGTTTGGCCTTGAAATGTTACATGATGAATACTAACCGCAAGTATTATTCCTTTCACCGAGACAAAATGCTTTGAATTTCAAAAATAAGGAGTGGAAAAAACATCTACCTCAGCACCATTTAAAAAAACATTTTCGGCAGAATAAAAAAATCCTAAATCTTTCCAATTTATTACTACAATTTATAAGTTTTTAAAAATATTTAAATGCTTTGTGTTTTCATCCATTCCTTGATTAAGATTGGTTAAATTCTAATTATATATGGTTTCTTTTTTTATAATAATAAATATGTACATTATTTACACTATTTACCTTTGTACAGGCTTTTTTAAATACAGATTAATTTTAATACTGGCTTGATACAGCGTGCCAAATACTCATTACAAAGTGTAAAAAACCTACATTTTCAAATGGAATAGGCGTATTTCGAATAATTTACTCTGTCAACTGACTTTTGAAAATGCTGCTAAATGACAGAAAGTTAACATTTTTTTTTAAGACAGTAAGTTTAACAGTTATACCAGGTTCAGTGAGAACAACTAATTTTAAAATTCACACCAAGTGTCTTTTAAGAGATGACTGTCTAAAATTTGAAGGAAAAAAAACAAACACCTGGAGCCCATGCAAAGTCTTAGTCTAAAAACTGGGCCTGATTACGAGTACAGAGATCCAAGTTCTTTTTTCTACTAATTTGAGGTGCCCCTGTTCAATCACTTACCTCTCTAGCCCTGGCCAAAGAACTAGGAGTGACTTCCCCTTTGCCTAAAATATTGACAATGTGCCTGAGGCTCAACCAACAGTAACCGTTAAACTTGCCTGGATGAATAATGCCCCCTTCCTCTCATTACCAACATTAAGGCCATATTTTAAAAATCTAGGAACCCCCCTGAGCATGTAGACTAAATCGGTTAAAATTTGCTTTTGGGGAAAAACGGGCTAGAGTTAAGAAAAACTGAAAACACCACATGTTGGTGTCAATGTGACAAAACACTCAATAATGCCGCACATGACATAGATCTTAAAAAGCTGCAACTGTAAAGCAGGGTTTAAAGTTGTTGTTTGCCAAAGTGGTGTTAAGTTCTTGACACAAAACTTGGTGAACAAATCTTTACACTAAGCACAGACTGGCCATTTTTTCGAAGTGGCAAATCTAGCTTGTCTATCAGCAAGTGCTGGGGTGATCGTCAAGGTAATCCAAGGTTTGGTCTAGATCCTCAACCTCCTGGGATTTCAAGCTGCTGTGGACAGATTCAGTCCCCTCCCCAAGATTAATTGTTATCCTCAGCTCTGAGTCTGAGAGTGCTTCAGTGAGTGCATCACCCAGTGTGTCACTGTGTGTGTCCCTATCCCCGCCTGGGAGGTCACAGCAGGCCCCAGCCAGGGGCGTACTGCTTGGATCCTGAGGGAGGTTTGGAGGGTTCAACGGTGTCCTCTCAGTGTCTGTGCACTGAGATTCGTCGTCCCGCTCTTCAGCTGTGCTGTCATTGTTGACGTTGGGATCGCTGTCAGTGTAGCATTGGCATTGACACTGGCATGCAATGAACGCTGCAGTCTCGTGACTGTCAGTTGTGATGCAGCAGTCCGGGTCATCAAGGTCAGCACAGGAGGCGTGGTGGCAGTGGGGAATGCTGCCTTCACTGGCAGCCATCTTTTTTCCCTCCAGCACGCCTTCCTCCAGGCACGCTCTGTTCTGCTCGTCTTCTTCCACGCTGTGCCGTTCCACGCTCACCTCGCTCTCCGTACAGGTGTGCTCACCCCGGCTGCCACAATCGCCATGGTTACTGTCATCACGGAAGTCCCTCATTGGGATGCTCTCCTCGTTGTGGTGGGGCACAGGCATAGTTCGCCCGTCAAATTCCGTCCCAAACAGGACCCAATTCTGGGGATAGGTACCCCCTAAGGGATCAGGAACCTTTTTGGATCGGCGGTAGCGTGCCATGAAGAGAACGCAGTTGATCATAAAAGCTAGGATGGCAATACAGAAGATGCCCAAAACGATGTACATGCCAATCTCTAAGGGGCTAAGGGATTCCTCTGTGTAAGGATAATCACTGGTATCTTCCTCAGAGCCATCAATGTTAGCGTTGTCAGCTTGATCAAATTCATCGACGGGATCGTAAGGAAATGGAATGTCGATGGGGATGGATATGATCCCACCTTCCGATTTTGTGCCTCCGCCCCCTCCTCCACCATGCTTTGGTCTCTTCTTGTCTGGGTCATAGTCACTGCGTACCACACCATAATCCACAGAAGCTGCTTCAGGAGTGAGCCGGATCCGTCCGTGGCTGCCGTCTGCATTTCCGAGCAAGTCCTCGTCCATGCTGCTCGGCCACCACTGCTTGGGCCGGTCGGCAAAGGAGACGTTGACGGGGATGACGTCGAAGGCAAGGGCGCCATTGCGCTTGCGGCGCTGGCACTCAGGCGGGAGCGCAACCTCCAGCATGAGTGTGGTAGAGCCCTCCCTCACAGCGATCACCGCGGGGTGGTGGGGTGTGGACCCGGGGCTTTTAGTGACCATCTCTGGGTTCAAGGTTGTGATGACGGCCTCGAAGTCTTTGATGTCAACGTCCTGCAGCGCCACTTCCGTGCCGTCATCAAACTCCAATCTCGCATCCATTATAGCTTCCTGATGGGCAAAGTCCAGGGGAAAAAAAATTGAATGTAAGGAAGAACAGAATTCAATATGATATCTTTTGTTGCATTTCCCCTTGCCTTGCACTGAGCTGGTCATGATTACGGAAGTAATATGCTTGGAAACATACTTGTATCTAAACATCAAAATTATCAAAATACACCTTCCAAACTTTATCTGGATTAAAATCATTTCTGTCCAACTTAAACCTCTTGCTGCCGGGTGGAATTTGAAGTTGAATGACGTGAAACTGGGACAGTTTCCATTTTCAAAATTCTTTTAAAAATCATAACTTCATACTGGACATTTACACCCACACAAATGATTGTTTGGTGGCTACTCTAATCTAACAGACAACATCTACTGATGCCCGAGTATTTCAGCCAGGCCTGCCGTCTGGTAAAAAAAGCCCAGATTGCGTGGTGTTACATAAGTTTCTTTTGTTCCCCAAACTGGCACAGTGCGCGGCTGGTGTCTTATCAACAGGGGCCAGATTAGCGTGCAGCAGTATTGTATTGCTCAGCACTGGAGCACTTTTGTCCCCGTTGGTAATCTGTTCGCGCTGAATGCCACAAACAGAGGTATAATCTTTCAAAACAATGACGGATTTCCTCCTCTATTGAGAACTGAAAAAATGTTAGCAATTCCCAACAGCTCAACAGCTCGGTCTTTTGTTCTGAGTACGGTCTTTTGTTATAAGGCCTAGCTCTTTTGTCTGGTTTCGGGCTCCCTGGTTCTGTGTATAAAGCCTAAGTGCCCAAACCAGGCTCCCTGGCAGCATAAAGTTAAGGCTGGTTCATACTTTGCATGAAAGCAGAAATGAATGTGAATTTGTGACGTCAGATCAAATATTGCAAATTCCTAAAAGTTCAACACATTTCAACTCAAAATTTTGCTACAAATTTTTTGTGACGTCAAATTCGTTCGCTTTTACCTGAAGTATAAACCAGCCTTTGATCTGTGCCAGAAACCTACTCCTAATGTATGTGCATGTGTGCACTCATTCAGATAAGCAATTCAGGATGTTAACTGAACTGTGAACTGGTTGCCATGGATGTACCACTTTTCAGAATGAGGCAGCAGTTCTAAACTGAATGACAAAACTCTGTGCGATGCACTCTAGGCTAATTGAGACAGAGTTGACAATTCACGCACCTGGAACTCAGCAAAGAGTGCCCTGTTGGAAGAGACCCTGGTCAGGCTACGGTCTCTCCCACTGTTCTCAGGGGCAAGAGGCACCGATTGCAGAGCGAGTCCGGAGACCAGACCAACGTGGAGCTCAGACACTTCCACTTTGTTGTCTGACACTGCAATGGTAGCCTCGCCCAGCACCTGTTGGCCGTCTTGACCAATGACCTGTGCCAAAGGAGATGAAAAGAGGCAACTGATGTGTTGGTTTGTTTTTACAAAAAAAATTCAACATTTTGGGTATTCCAAATGACAAGTTCTGTGTTAATAAATTAATGAGAAGAATACATAAAATTTGTGCTGACAGAAATAAGCCAAAGCCCTTTCCAGAAAGCTGGCATTCTGGTAAATGCCTTGAAAATCTGTGTCTTTGTTATTTAACCATAGAAGAGTTGGGGAAAGGGGATTGATTCTGCCCAACTTTTTTATGGTTAAATCACAAGGACGAAATCAGCACACCCCACCTTGACGTTTCCTCCAATGTCATTTTAGTGTATTTTTTCATCCACCAAGTCTTCATTAGTCATCTTTTGGAAGTAACATCTTGTGGTTATTTGCACATCAACAGACTGATTGTGCCAGCTACGTCACATGACCTTTAGTGGGTATCATAGCTAAGTGTGCCATAAATATTGTTTACCAAAAATAAAGCCGAATTTTGGCATAGTGCTCAGCACATCAGTAGTCTGATTACTTTACTGACCGTTGGCTTTAGTTTAGTAAAAGGCATTGACGACACACTCTGCGATGGGACGGCACCATGTTTGCTGATGTTTGATACCCACTCTTGGTCATGTGACTTAGCGGGCGCAATCAGTCTATTCTGTAGAAGTCAGACATTCAGTTCTCACGCCATGCCCATTTTTTTCGAGACAGGTCAGCAAACTGCACACTTATTCCACTGACTGGGCCAACATGCACAAGGCCTTGCACTTCCAATGACCGTAACAACAAAACCTTAAGCTTGAATTAGTCGAAATTTGCACTGATAGTGTCTGCATGTGTATGTTTCATTAGGATTGTGCACTGGACAGCTGAGTTCTGGGCGGAGGGGGGATCCCAGCTCTTTTAGGGTTAATCGAACTATACCATCTCAGCAAACACAAACCTGCACTTTCACATGTGGACTAGAGAGGGCGGTATACATGGGCATTATTTGGGATCAGAATCGTCACTGCTATAGCAGTCAGGCAAGACAATCACAGCAGGAACTGCTCTGGGAAGTTACTTGCTGAGCAAAACTTGGTTAGGGACCAATCACAAATCACAGAAAGCACAGGTGGTGACCACTTTTTGCTGAGAAGGTATTTTTTGGGCTTAGCAGAGTATTGAATTTGAATTTGGAAAAACATTTATTTCAACATTGCCCTACAAAGACACATAGGTAGTACATTGCTATACTAAAAGACAAGAATGCACGTATTTAGATTCAAAAGGCATTTAAACAATTAAATTATTACAAATAATATTAACACTTAAGCACAAAAACAGAGGGCAATATCTAGGCAAGTGGGTGAAGCTAAAAGCTTTTGTACCCCGACCTGGGAAGGACAAGAACATGGACTATACAAACAGTAGATATATGGGAAGTACAGGGATCAGATATACAC